TTGTAATATGTCTTATTAATGTTTGTCAATATTTGTTTAAATTCCATGTCTTGACATTTATTTTTGCCTGGATTCACATGAATCTGCTAATATTGTTTGTGAGACAAATGTACCAGAAGTATTAAACATTTAGTGAAAAAGTCCACACCTCATATCAAAAGTGTTGATTTTTGAAACACAGCAGACCTAGCAATTGATTCAATAAATTCAGTTATCTATATTTTATTCTATTGCATAACAGTTTGGTGTTTCATTCATTATTAAATTTAATACTTTCATTCATTGGTTTATATTTCATTCTTTGTTGTAATCTCATTAATAGTTTATATGGAAGGGCATGCTTATTTTATAAGCTAAAAAATTCCTGCTAGAATACCTATGCCAGGTGGCTCTTATGTTTGGTACAAAAGATTAATGCTTATGCTGGTGTTACACTCTGCTTCAAATTAGATCACTTTCTGATTGACTCCACATAAAAACCTATAGGCCAGATGTGAACACTATGAAAGTGAAATTAAAAATAAAATGTCACTTTCTGCACAGAGGTTTTGTGCATCTCTTCTGACTCACAAAACACCCTCTCACCACCACTATGAAATACAATTTAAGAAAAACCAATCTTGAATATTGCTGCTAAAGCAAAAGTGTAATAAAAAATGCTGAGTCATCTATTCACCCTGACTGCTTAAAAGGACCCGTTCACAACACTCGAGGTAGTCACGTGTGAGTAGGCAGTCTGTCAGACACCACCAGTGGCCTTGGCCAACTGACCTGACACAACCTTCAATGCCTACCAATATCCATCATTCAGGTCACATCTCTTGCTAGAAAAGAGACATACCACTATAATCCTTTGTATCAGTAACACAAAGAATTTTATTTTAAGATATCATCTTCATTTCTTTCAACATCAGCCTCACCAGCACTTTATCTTGTTTATTCTTGTGCAACCATACATAGGGATGGTTCTCTTGTGTCCCAAATACAAGTGCCAGAAGAATTAAATTATTTGCTTCAATTTTCCCTACCCATGGCTTGGTGCTTACTTCATATGACATGCTTATTATTTTTCAAATATTTTTTTATATAAAAATCTCTGGCAGAATGTTTATTTGAACCAGCACACTTATTTATAAGTCAAAAAATTCCCCCTGGCACAGCCTTCAATGCCAGTCCCTACTGGATCCCCTCATGCTCTAGGTTGCGTCCCTTGTCCACAAAGAGACATTCCACCATAATTCTCTATATCAGCAATAGAAAGAATTTTATTTTAAGATATCTATAAATAAAAAAAAATTTCAAATTTATTTCTATATAAATTGGTAAATGATAAATGTTGTATGGAATTAGTTTTAATTGTATTAGTTTTTAGAATGTTGTAAATATAAAATTATTTTTGCAAATTAATAAATCTAATAAATAGTTTAATATTTTTTTAAATTCTTAAGGACAAAAAAATAAATGTATAAATTTACTTTCACAATATGCTTAAGTTTTATTACAATTCTAAGCATATGTTAAAACAATAAACATTGCTGTGGACAGAAGGTAGTCAATGGAAAAAAAACAAAACATCCTTTTGACAATCTTTTTTTTTGCAGGTATGAAGGTCCAAGTTTGCCCACATTTATCTTTCTGCCTATATATTTACATTTTTAAATATGTAGCTGCAATTGTGTTGTTTATAATGAAAATATGTAAAAGCTGGTCTGGCAGTGTGTATGGCCTAACCTGGGGAGTGCCACTTGCATAGTTTTTACTTCCATTGATTGGTGCTGCGACAATGCAACAAAACATAAACACATGACATTAACTCTATTTCATTAACTATGTGCAATTTACAGGGGCAATTTAAACATAGGAGGCGCTAGTCTGCATAAATATCTGAAAAAGGGATGTTAGAGAAGAATAGGTTAAGAACCATTGCATTAAACATAGGTAACTCCACGAAATCGCTATAAAAATAGCATAGCATGATGAAAAAGACACCGAAGTTGACAAAAACAAAATTTTATCATCAAAATGTTCATGTTATTATTAAGAAGAAAGACCAAAGTTTTTTTTAAATTATTTTTAAAAATTTTTCTTTCTTTTTTGAACATTCTAAATTTTGATTAAAAAAACCTTGTTTCTCTTTGTATCACCAGAACTAGTAAAATAGCATATACAATTTTTAGCACGTTTTTTTTTGTATGACACACATTAATTTGGAAAATCTTGCAAAAATAAAAATAATTGTCGGATGTTAATAAAACTTTCAGAAACTATTCACAGATGATCGAAATTATTATAATTTTTTTTTTTATCAAAGTCATGGCAGAAATATTTTTTTTTAAATATTTATTACCCCCCTCCCCCAACTAATTTTATGAAAACGCTAGAAATTTGATCCCATAGGGTTTAGAGATTATAATAGTTAAAAGCCCAAGGCTTTGAGGAATGCAAATCATGTTTTTTTTTAATTGGATCTGCACTACCTGAAAATCAGCTCTGAATTGTAACATACAAAACTCAATAAAACAAAGATATTATTTAATTTCAAATGCTTTTAGCTTTTATTTGCTTTTAGTTGTTTTTTATGAATATGGACAATATTTTCTGAAAGCAAAAAATTTTTTTTGATGAAAAATGAATTTTTAATACAATTATTTGTTATTTCTTTAATTATAATAGATTTTTACATTTAAATTGTTAAAATATTATAAAATTAGTTAAAAGCCGCATCGGCTTTCCTAAGTGTCCTTATGAGATAGATCTTTTTTTTAGTGCGTTGTAAATTGTATCATATTGATTAATCAGAAGATCTGCAGTAATTAAGAAATCTAATTTTGTGTTTATAATTGGGCTGTAATTATAAAGTATGGAAGACCAACCAGACTACAATTAAGTTGCTTTACTTGAGTTAAGCACTGTTCTCTGCTGTTAAGGCCTTTACTTTTGTGAAACATGTGTGGAGAAGTTAATTTGATCTTTCAATTTCAACTGAGAAGGGTACCTACAAGTATCAGTATCATCTTATGAAATTTATATGATCTTATTTTTATATTAATCTCAGTTATATTTTTCCATAAATGAAATATCAAAATTAATAAAATGAATGGAAATACAAATAACACAGTAAAATGTAATAAATGTACATAAAATCATAGTATTTTATGTACACTTCTGATAAAATTTCATAAAAGGTACCTATAAATTAATTAGATACCTTTCTTATGAAATATGAAATTTAATCTCACTCTTAACAGTCTTATTTTAATTTCTTTATAATATATTTTCCATAAAGCATCGTAAATGTAAAGGTGAAAGCTAAGTACAAAAGAGTGTTGAAAGATTTCCTTAAAAATAACAAAGTAAATAATTTGTTCACTTAAATCTAAATAACTTCACTTTTTGGCTTCCATAGAATAAATTATGTTCACGTAAATCCGTCAATACATCATTCAACAACTGTCAAGTGACGTGAAAGGTTATGACCTGCTTTGTTTTATTTTCAAATTACATCTTTTTGGCGCAGAAGCTAAGTCAACCTTGGTTCAAAATATTTTAAATAAACATTATAATTTCTGATTTTCTTAAAATAAGTTTTGAAAAAATGATAATTGATTTTTAAAAGAATTTCAAATTTTTTTTATAAAAATGGAAAAAAATGGATGCCATAATCGATTATCTGTCAATTTTGCTGACTCAAAAAAAAAAAAAAAAAAAACAAGATTTTTAACGAAAATTACGGACATGCTCGGTACAATTAAAAAATGTAAGAAAATACCCCCAAAATACTTTGATCTTTCCTCTTGATAATAACATAAACATTTAGATGATAAAATTTTGTTTTTGTCAAGTTTGGCATCTTTTTCATCATGCTATGCTCTTTTTTAGCGATCTCATGGAGGTACCTAAACATAATTGTTGCAAGACCAAAATTTTGGATTATCTCCCTTGTACTAGAGTTAATCATTTCATTGTAGATTTTATTAATTATTTTAATATCATATAACAACTGGTATGGGACAGTTCAACCTATAAATAGGATTGGCTAAATTTTTCATTATAAAGTTTTGTAGGATGGTTTAGAAAAATAATATAATAAAAAGGAAAATGCTAAAAGTAAAAAAAATAGTGCAAATATATTTCCATTACAGTTTTTAAAGTGTCACTGAGATTGAGGAATAGAAAACTGGCTGTGGTTAATAGATTATTGATAAATAAACTTGATGTATTTCAGTTTCTTCATCTCCAATACTTGTCTGGAGCCTAACACAATCTCAATATCTTTGGTCTTTTCTTATTCACTTCTGGTATTACATGACATGTGCTTTTCATTCTCTTTAATTTAGAAACATATTAAGATTTATTAATAAAATAAAATTTATTGTTCAAAATTAAATGAAGACACACTGAAAATGTGAAAAAAAAAAAAAAATTTCTGTGCTCCAGTTTGCAGTCATAAATGTTTAGGAAAACTGATTAAGAGTTCTTAAAAATAAAACAGTACAGACAACGCAAAAGAGGCTCTGGATTGCGTATGAACATGTCTGTCAACACAAGTTACATCGAGGTTTTTCCTGTGAGCAGTGGAACAGCTTGATATGTCCAGATACAGGCCTCTCTGTAGAGATTTTGGTCTTTATAAGATGCCTCATGCCAATAAAAGCAATGGGAAAACCAGCAGTCAGCAAGATGCAGTGTATTTTGAAGTTCACCCCATGAGCATCTGGTTCCTGAAGTGGCTGTAGTTACTGAGGCAGTGTTATTTTTTTACCTCCTGTCTGTTTTTCCTCTCTGTATATTACCCTGTAGTTTTTGGATGACCAATTGGTTAGGTGTTCCCCCCAACCTCAAAAAACTCTTGCCATACAACAAAATCCTAATTAATATTGCTTGTTTTTCCTGCCAGGCACCATACTGACAAAAGTGAGAACATGAGCATAAATGATATGGCTGATTTGAATGAATTAGAGAATCATTTATATATGCAAACCACTTCACTGAATAAAACTTATGGCCATATTTTCTTTAGACTACCGGTTCCCATATGATCACCAAAGATAAGCAATGTCAAGGCAGGTCAGTACCTAAATGAGTGATCTTTTGGGAATACGAGGTGCTGTAAGCTTGGATTTGTTAATTGAAGAGCAAAGTTCTAATTCCAATAGGGTTCATTATATTCACTTACATGCAAATACCCTTGGGAAAGGTATGAATTCATCTCTTCTCCCTCCAGCAATGGGTTAAGTAGTAACATTTGTATCATTAAATCATTATTATATTTATTATTTTTTATATACAAAAAAATTCCTTAAATGTAAAAATATTTTCTGGCTTTAAATGTTTGATAAGCCATATAAAATGAATGAATGAATGAAACCACCCAATAAAAATGTGGCCATTGATATCATAGCTCGGCACTCTTAAGTTATGACAGTTAATGAAGATTTCAGAAATAAAAGGAGTTATTTCCCATCTAAGTTTTCCCCAAACATAAATATACCAAATACAAGAGAAATACACTATTAAACCATAAATACAAACTGTTCTATTTTTGGGACAATGGGAATTAATGGATTAGAGGTAGAAAACTAGAATTAGATATCTTTTTTTAAGAAAGCTATTTATGTTGCATTTTTTATTTAATTATTTTTTTTTTTTTAGAAACCGTTGGTTAATAATAGATTTAGAAAAAAACCTTTAGTTAATAATGGAATTAGAAAAAAAACTTTAGTTAATAATAGATTAAAAAAATCTTTTCGTTAATAATTTATTTTTAAAAAAAAAACTTTAGTTAATAATGGATTAAAAAAACCTTTAGTTAATAATGGATTTAAAAAAAAAACCTTTAGTTAATATTACATTAAAAAAAACCTTTAGTTAATAATAGTTTAATAAATAACCTTTAGTTAATAATGAATTTAAAAAACCTTTAGTTAATAATGAATTTAAAAAACCTTTAGTTAATAATGAATTTAAAAAACCTTTAGTTAATAATGAATTTAAAAAACCTTTAGTTAATAATGAATTTAAAAAACCTTTAGTTAATAATGAATTTAAAAAACCTTTAGTTAATAATGAATTTAAAAAACCTTTAGTTAATAATGAATTTAAAAACCTTTAGTTAATAATGAATTTAAAAACCTTTAGTTAATAATGAATTTAAAAACCTTTAGTTAATAATGAATTTAAAAAACCTTTAGTTAATAATGGATTTAAAAAACTTTTAGTTAATAATGGATTTAAAAAAACCATACTTAATAATGGAATTTAAAAAAAATTTTTAGTTAATAATGGATTAAAAAAAAAATCTTTAGTTAATGATGGATTTTAAAAAAACCTTTAGATAATGAATTTTTTTTCAAAACACTTAATTAGTGATAGATTTTTTTAAAAGCATTTAATTAATGAAGGATTATTTTTTTTAGAAACCTATAATACCAGATAATTTTATTTTTGGTACCTAAAAATAATAATAGCTTTTTTATTTTAATATAATTACTACTGGATTTTATGGTGGGCATTAATGTTTTTTTGTGTCTTTTAACTTAGAGTAAAAATGCACAAAAATTCAAAAACTTGATGTGTTAGGACAATTCTGAGTAGAGATTCAGAACCAGCATATTTGATTGAGTCCAGTGTATCATTTGTGTATGTAGCAGACAAAAAGGTTTTTGTTGCTAAGTGTAATCAAGAAATGATGGCAAAAAATGTTCAATTTTTCTTCAAATCAAGGGAATTATAACTGCAGAATAAACATCTAGTATGAAAAAGGCAGCATTCATTTTTTTGTTTTTTTAGCTGTAATAGAACAAAAGAAAAATGTATGATCATAACTAACATTATAAATAAATAATTGTATTCATAACTCTAATAATACAAAAAAGTGTGTGTGTTGGCCCAGTGAGAGGAATGCTGAATCATTATTAAGAGTTTATCATTGAAGTTTTATGAAATGTCAGCCTTGTATTAAGAGCTGTTACTTCATAGAATCTCATAATGAGATGGACGATATCCTGTCATCGTCTCGTTTCAGACGTTTGCTCTTTGCTCTGTTCCTCTTATCGATGTAACGCTTCAGGTCTTTGTTTTCTACTAAATTGCACTGCTGCACAGGAGAATCACTTGAGCATCCAGACATTGGGCATCTGAAATAAATAGCAAAACCAATTTTAGACAGAATTCCAGACTGCTTAAGTTGTTCACTGCATCATTGTTATAATATACTTGCCTGCCTGTGCTGACCCACATTTGTGGGGGGTGGGGGGAATTGCCATTTACGAGAAATAAATGATTATAATTATAAAGATGCTGATGACAATTTCTCATGGGCACCCCCATTTTAGTTTCAATAGGATACAGACTAAGCTATACGACACCTCAACATGAAATAGAATAAAAATATGACTCAAAATATGTTATACTGTACGCTACTATATGTATAAGTGCTAATTAGTTTATAATGCAGATATTAGGCTCTTGTGCAATAATCAAAGTTAAGCAACATCGAGCCTTGTAAAATACCTAGATAGGTAACTGCTTGGGAAGACCATGTGCTGTAAGGTTGGATGTGGAGGTGGTGTAATGTATGCGCATATACTCTGTATGTGGCCTGGCAGGTGTTAACCGTAAAGTTCTGAACTGGTGAAAGTAAGGATCAACACTTATCTGCATATCTTATGTTGTTAAGATTGTGGCGACCAATAATCAGGTCTTCCACAGAAATAGCAATAGAACAGTGAGAGGCTGAAGACATTTCATTTATGAGAAAGGGGCTGTAAAGTGGAAAATAATTCAACACCCAAATAGCTGTGCAGGCGCTTTTGAACTCTGTTAAGGCTGGACAGAGAGAATTGTGCAGCTCTGGCCCAGATATGACAACAATTCTCCTTTTGGTCTGATCTGATTCTTGTAAAGATAGAGCATGGCAGGCAGAGTCAGGTACTTTTTTTGGAGTGGTATACGGAGCTGACTCTTTTTCTAGCATCTTTAGTGATAGATTGTATATATGAGTTCCATTTGAAATCTGGGGGGGAACTTGAGTCCTGTTGGAGAATATACTAAGGGTGAACTTTTTTTTTTTTTTTTTACTTACCTCTTTCTTCTCAAACAAACAAAGACAGATTTGGTAGATATACAATCATTTTGAGAATTTTCAAGCCATAGAAAGTTAGTGCTAAAAAAGATGAGGACCATTTGTACTTACTCAAAGACCAGCAATATTTAGTTTGAATGATTGGTGAAATGTTGTCAGAATTAAAAGTCAAACAATAAATGTTTTTAAACCTCCTGTATGTATTTAAACTGGGATTGAATTTTGTGAGGTTTGTGGCAAGAAATCTTCTATATGCCATGACCTTTCAGGATGTTGGTGATCATGACTCCCTCTGTAGCTTTTAGTAAATTTTGTCTTTGTTATCTCTCCCAAAACCTTGTTCTGCCATCAATTTACACAAGACCACATTTCTATCACCTCAAGTTTTTTCTTCATCTGTGCGAAGATGATACAGCATTCACCATCATATAGGAGGACTAATATTGCATAACAGTTTCTTATTCTTTTCTTTGTTTCTAGCAGAATTTTCCCCTTTCTTAATATTTTGCTTAACTTTTAGTAAGCATCTTTCACTATCGCAATGCACCTTCAGTTTTGCACTTTCCATTCTATGTTAAAACACTACCAAAATATTTAAATTGTAGCACTTGCTTGATTTTGGAATCTCCAATTTGTAATTCACATGTTGGGCACTTGTTTTTGCTAACAACCATGCATTCTTTCTTCTTGCAATTCATGTTTAGTCCTTTCTTCTTGCTTTCTTTCACATGTCTGCTATCAACACTTATCTTATGTTGTTAAGATTGTGGCGACCAATAATGAATCCTAGTAGGACTTCTAATTCTCTCAGAATTGCCTCACTTTCTAGTGGTATGTAGGCGGTTTGCTGCCAGTATAGGTTCTGGATTATTCTAATATCCTTCCCAAATAGGTCAAGGTTATCTAGCAGTTCCAACTATTGTTTGTGATGTACTTTATCAAATGCTTTTGATCTATAAAATAAGTTTGATTTGGTTATTTTTGTTTAGTGGCATATCAACACCTCTATGGGTTAGTTAATGCTGAAATCTATATACTTTGAACACAATTTTATGGCTTCAATTCAATATATTTTGAATACAACTGCATGCCTTCAACTAGAGGCAAAATGTATTGTTGGTATTTCTACTATAAATATGTATTTTTATACTTTCATAGTGTTTTATTTTTCTGCAGGGAGGAGGGTCACTATTTGCCCATAGCTGGGACCCTAACAGGTGCTATCACCCTGGGTCAGGGTGGACCTAGGGACAACAGCAATTAAGAGGTAGTTCCACACTCCTCAAAACTTCCCTGGTCAAAGGCCTTACTGATGAACGTAGTTTGTCATCATACTCAGGACTAAAAAAACATACATATACATCCTTTTAAAAAAAGAAAAAATTAGGAGACTAAGCTAAGCTGAATAAATATCATCTACAAAACAATCAGATTTATGCAAAATTGTAAAGAAATTGTTTCAACTGAATGAATAATTGTGTAGTCATGTGTTTTACAAAATTGGAGAATATGTTAAAGGTTGACTTGTTTTGGGCTTCTTTTCATTCAAATCTCAAAAATGAATGAGAAGTCTGTTTAGAAAAAGAATTTCTTATGAAACTAGCTAATCGCATGCTAAACAATCAGATTTGTTTTTTTATTTCAATACCTAAAGTTGAGTTGCTATCCTAGTTCATTATTTTAATACCTGGAGTTGCTATCCCAGTTTTTTTTTTTTTTCAATATGTGAAATATTAACAATCTCTTAGCTTCAGTTTTGTATCCTGCTGTGTCTCTTACATTCTTCTACACGAACCAGATGCTCAACGACCCAAAGAAGACTGTGTAAATACCTTTTCTGCACATTGGCTCCACGCATACATCTGCTTTAACCAAAATAAAACGAACAATTATTGACCAGTGAGAGCCGGATGATGGCGATATATTCTCTAATTCGAACAAGCTCAAAACAGATCAACTTGGACATCAACACTGGCAGACTGAAAGAGAGATGTGACATAGACAAGGATTCATGTCAACACCGAAGCACTGTGAAAGAAACAATGATGACAGCTGTCAACAATGTCTATCTAACTGTGCTCTCTTAACAGATAAAAGTTATGAGTTTTGTATGTATGTAAATAAATTATACATTTATTTACCTATACTTGATGTATTATTTTTACTTGAATTTATGTTTGCCGAGGTAGAGAAGGATTTAACCTCCACAACAGTAACAACAAGATTCTGTCTTCCGGGTTATCCAGTTCCGTCTCTGCAACAACCCAAAATAATTTTGGGTATAAAACTGAAGATAGATGATATAGATTTGTAGAAGCCCAAATGAGAAATGTACACACCTTAAATAGGTAGTTCAAACCTTGCTCTATCAATGCAACCTCCATGGTCGAATTGGTAAAGACACTTCTCAGCTATAAAAGTGGTTTCCCTGATGGAAAAGAGGATACATGTTCAATTCCTGGTGGAGGCACAATTTTTCTCTAGTAGCACTTATCAATCTAGGCTGAATGTCATTAATTTTGTTGTTTAAGAAAATAAAAATCAAACAAACAAAAACACAGAGATAGTAACTCAAATACATGTACCAACTAAAAATAATGTTTATAGTGATAAGAAATGTTGGAATAAAAAAAAATCCATTAAAAAATTAGTTTACTTTCCAGGTATGAAACTGAAGCTAACAGATATAAATTCATAAAAGTTCCAAAGAGAAATGTGCTTTCTGTAGATAAGTAATTTAAACCTTGCTCTATCAATATAGCCTTTATGACTGAATTGATAAAGGCACATGTCAGCAATAGTAGTAGTTTACCTGATGGAACAGTGGATACAGGTTTCTTTAATAGGACTTCTCAATTTAGGGCAGTTGTTATTAATTTCATTGTTTAAGGAAATAATAATTAAAATCAGGGATAGCAACTCAAATACAGGGATCAACTAAAAATAACGTTTTTAGTGATAAGAAAAAAGATACTTTTTAAAAATTACTGTTGTTTATGTTTCTGTTATAAAACTGAAGTTAGCAGATATAGATTTGTAGAAGTCACAACAAGAAATGGGCTTTCCTTAAATACGTAATTCAGACCTTCTGCTGTCAGGCTGATCTCTGGGTCCAAACTGGCAGATGCACGCTTTGTCTAAAAAAATGTGATTTTCCTGATAGAAATAAAGGAAAATTCCTACAAGAAGCACAGTTTATCTTTAGTTGGGCTTTATAATTTAGGCTGGTTGTTATTAAGTGCCTTGAATATAAAATAAGAACCAGGGATAGCAACTCAAATATGTGAACCAACTAAAAATAATGTTTTTAGTAATAATAAACAATGTTGGATAAACAAAAAACTCAATTCAAAAATCAGATCTGTTTATGAGTGGTGCTGAAAAGTCCTCATCTCAACTCAATATCCAAAATCTGATCAAACACCAAATTATTTTTTGGGATGTTTTTTTTTTTGTCCAAACAAGAACTTTTTTGCACCTATTCATAAAATTGTTGTAAAATCTTTTGAAGACAATTAACAATCATGCTAAAGAAACACTAATATAACAAAATATCTCATGTGACCACTGAAAACACTGGTTCTTGTTCAATCACTGAAAGTAAGGAGTGTCAAGAGCAGTCAGTACTTAGAAGGGAGATTGTTTGGGAACACCGGTACTGTAAGCAACCTCCTACAATCTGAAATATATTTTGGCTTTACATAAAGAGTTGATAAACTATAAAAATCAATTAAATTGTTGTGTAACATCATGCGGTTTAATAAAATCTACCCAATCTTTAAAAACTGTTTACTAATCAAACAAACACTTACTTTCCGTTGGGTCTTGTACTGAGGTAATGCTCAATACCTTGCCGGTCATAGTTGTGGCCACATACTGTGTTTCGTACAGGGTGTGTCATTTCTTTTCCAGTGATAGCACAACGTGTATTCTCCACTTCTTGGGTGATGGCAATTTCTTCATCTGAGCCTTGATTATTTTGGTTCTTTTCTTCATCTGAATAAGCAAATATATCTCATGAAAACATTTCAGTGTGTACTGACTTATATATAAGATAGATACAACCTCACAAGATAAACTGTCTGTTCTTTTCAAATGTTAGTCTTAAACTACTTTTTTGCTAATTTAGGATGTGTGGACAATCTAATGAATAATGGCTTGAAAAGAGCCAAGTTCAAATTGCAGTAGCATTCACTTATGAGCAAGTACCCATTGGAAAGGTATGAATCCACTCAGCTATGAGTTAAATAGTACAGCAGACTTGACTCTTCAGTCTTGGGTGGCAACCATTCTAGGAGAAGGACAACTCTGAACTCAAAACTGTATGTACCCCTGGTGAAACATATACTATGCAACTTATGAAAATATCATTGAGTTTACAATGACCACAATCCTGACTGGTCAGCCTTGGTTGATTTGCTAATTTTGTATTTCATTTTGAGATAAGGAATTGTCAATATATTTTAATTTATTTTTAACTACTGTTCTCATTTTAAGAACTGGCATCACAGGTAAAAAATAACACAGTAATCAATCATATATCAAACAAAAACAATGGACACCTAAAGATGGCAAGAGGGTACTTGGCTGAAATGTTGTGTATTGTGATACTATGAACACCCATGTAGAAAGAGAAGAGGTAGTTTTATCTTGATTACAATGGTTTCTATTTGATGGACCAGCATATGGTTTCTTTTGAAGCTCTGTCTTGACCAAAGGAGAACAGAAAGTAAAGGAATGGATGCGGGCTCTTGGAGATCAAGTGGCAACAAAACTGGAAACGGTATATTCGAATGCTGGTCTATATTAACAGTCATGCTTGGGATTGGGGAGGAAATGGATTTGTCTGTCGTGTGGCTCCTAGGCCATCCATTCATATTACCAGTCACCATGTGAGGATGACTAGATAGGTGAGGAGTAAGTAAAGAGAAAAACCAAGTCATTAGGCCAACAAAGCAGAAGTCATCCCAAGTATCACCCGAACGAACAAGTGAAGCGCTGAATAAAACATCTACATATAATACGGGAAACAGGGTTTGTGTTCTTATTACTTGACATGGCATTTGTCTTTCATCTTGTTACCTTGTGAGCAGCAGTGGGCCTATTCACAGCTTTCGGTGCACACTGACAAGATCGAGAATCGAAATGCAAAGTGGGGTAACTATTGGCTAGTCAGTGGAAAGTTTGGATGAGGATCATGCTGAATGTTTACACTATAACAACACTTATAATAATCAAAATGAGAACAATAGTTCAAATAAATTAAAGCATACTAACAATTCCACCTATTAATAGATATCCCACATCAGACAAAAACAACGAAAATCTGAAGATGCCCAAAGGGTACTTGACCAAAATGTTGTTTACAATAACATGAGAACAACAGTTTGAATAAATTATACCTTTTTGCTTGTATGTATTAATAAATTACTTTCTTACCTGCTGTTTTATCAATGAAAATGGCAGGGTGGGGGGATAATTGAATTGGAAAACTGAAGTACAAAGTTGAATTAGTTTTTCTTTGCAATCTTAATTTGGAAAGACAGCTAAACTTGGAAAATGGATTCTTGATAATTTGATAGGAGCCAACTATAAATGAAAAATGAAAATGCATTTTATCATTTATAGAGAGAATAGCAGCTTCTAATGAAAAAATAGTTATTTTAGAATGAGATGAGGGCAATCTTTAACCTTCATGCCCACAAAAAAAAAAAAAGAAAGAAAGAAAAGACAGTTTTTCCCTTGACACTGCTATTATTTTTACTACCTTCACTCCCCAGCAATCTTTATTCATTTAAAAAACAATGATTAGAATTGTAATAAAACCCAAACATATGAAAGTGAATTTAAACATTTTCTTTGTTCTTGAGAATTGATAACAAAAATAATAAACACTATTTATTTATTAGATTGCTTATTGGAATAGTTGGTAAAACATTGGCTAATTGATTTGAAATTTATAAAAATGTTAAATAATAAGGATTTCCTGGTTCAAATATTTTAATAATCTAGTAAATGTTTATAAATTTATGAATACAAAATTGTTTTCATTTTTACTATTCCTTTATAAATTGGTAAATGATAAATATTGTATGGAATTAGTTTTAATACAATTGTATTCGTTTTTAGAATGTTGTAAATATAAAATTATTCTTGCAAACAATCAATCGAATAAATAGTTTAATATTTTTGTGAATTCTCAAGAACAAAAAAAATGTATAAATTCATTTTCATCATGTTTAGGTTTTATTATAATTCTGATAATAACTTTTTAAAATAACAAACATTGCTGAGGATGGAATTAGTTAAAATAGTAGCAGTGCTAATGGAAAAACTGTCCTTTTGACACTGTTTTTTTTTTTTGTGGGTATGAAGGTTAACGATTACTGATGAGAATTCAATGGTAAATATATAAAACAATTTGAAAAAAATCTCTACTTTTACAAGCTTTGTCAATAAAAAGAAATTTGAGAAGAACAAAATTTACATTAGGAGGATGAAAACCAGATTCAAAATCTATATTAGCATGACAAAACTTGATTCAAGTAGCTAAAGTTAATATCATTCAGACACTTAACATGAATTTTGTCTCCTTAATTTAGATTTCATTATTGTGAAATAAAGTTCATTTTTCTGATGATGCCAGTCCATCAGCAAAACATGTCAAATTGAAATTTTCCCAAATTGTCTAATATATTTACTACATTTTTTAGGTACCTTCACAGATTCACTAAAAAGTGAACATAACGTGATGAAAAAATGTTCCAAATTCAATAAAGACAAAGTTTTAGCATCAAAATTATTATGCTATTAAGAAAGACCAAAGAATTTTTTGTTTATTAAAAAAATTTAGCAGTGAAAAACACATTGATCTGGAAATTCTTGAGAAAATCAAATAATTGTCAGATTTTAATGAAACTGTCAGGATTTAAAAAAAGAATACTTCTAAAATAATTTAATTCATTTGTGAAAAAGCCCTGAAAATTTCATTAAAATCTGACAATTATTTGATTTTCTCAAGAATTTCCAGATCAAATGTCTTGGTAAAAACATTTTTTTTATATTTGTTACCTCTCACTTATTTGATTTTATGAAATTGAGAAATTAATTTTTGTACTGCTTAATGCTTACATTAATTATATGTATAAATTCCTTGAAGAATTTAAATCATCAATTTGCTTTTATAAAACAGGACCCTCACTTGCTGAAAATCTGTTCTGAATTGTAAAATAAAAAAAAAATGCAATAAAACTAAGATATTATTTAATTAGAAAAGCTCTTAATTGCTTTTAGGAATAAGATATATTATAGACACAACTGTCATTAAAAAAATTTCTTTTTCTGATGAATAATGATTTTTTATAAGAATTGTTTTCATTTTTTTAAATTTTAATTAGAATAATTTAGAAAGTTATAAATCTTTTAAATTTCTGTATTAATTTGCTTATTGTTATCAAGTAAAAACTATATTTATTAATCATAAATGGAAAAGCTTACAATTCACTGATCCCCAATATTTTAGAAAGAATTTTGAATTTTTTTGTGTGTATAAATGTGCTGATTTTTTGTAAATACGGATGTCCATACACAACATTATCAAAAAATAAAAGCAATAACTATATTAAATTTGAAGCCAAAGTACCTAAAATTCAATAAAACATTAGATTATGGAGAATATTTTCCTAAATCTTTCAGATTGCTGGGTAGTTAAAAAAGGCACTCATGTTATATTCCTCAAGTAATTTTTACAGATATGTCCACTGTAGAAAAAATTTAGATGAACGTCAGTCTGTCAGTCAAGCTGTCAACACCTTAAATAAACAGCTACTGCCATATTAAAAATGTATTTGTGATATTTTAAACATAAAGTAATATCTTTTTTCAAATCAGATTAATTAAACTTTAAATCAGATAATATTCCTCAAATAAAATTTCAAAAAAAGTACATTTTATTTTTGAAAGATTTTTTTAATAAGGAGAATTACATTGTGATAACAGCTGGTGCTAAAATCAGAGTGATTTTAGTAATTTCAAAACAAAAACTTATTTCCAGTCAATTTAAATTAGTTTTGAAATGCAAAGTATTTTGCTTATTGGAAATATTAAATTAAATCTATTAGCTTGAAATTAAAACTAAAATAAAATGTTTAAGAAAGATTTTTCATTTTTAAAAATTCATTTTAAAACTTAGATATCATGATTCTGTGGAGGCACCTCTTGTAAAATATAAAATAATGCAGACAATGGCCTAGTGGAGGTAACAGGTGAAAGTAAAACACAAAAGGGACCTCCAAGCAAGAAAAATTTCATTAAGTGCCTGGTGGGGGATGTGTTGTGTAGAGTTCACTCAATGTTACAGTTATAGTCAGCAATTGGATCATTTAGTTTAATCAATCCCAAAGGTGTGGAAGTTTCCTTAAGATAATGCATGACCTATTGTAAAAGAAAGAAAATCCTCAGTTGAGTTAAAAACAATTCCCCACTCTCCTTATACACCAGCTTTTATTTCTGTTTAATTATCATTTATCCTAAGAAGCATCCTAATGGATAAGTTCTTAAAATACATGAAGAAATAAAAAGTAACCTCTCAAAATTCTTTTTCTCCAAACCCAAAAACTTTTACAAAGATGATATTATTAAGGGAGTATAAAAATTGCTTGTAGTGTCTATTGTCTCCACTGCTTTTGGCCATTCCTTTAGCCAAGAGAAGTGGCTGAAAGTGCGCTTGGGACAAAAGACATTGCAGATCATTTTTATACTCCCTTTAGCCCAACATATGGAAAAATTTAAGAATACAAAAAAAAAACTCAATAAAAAAATTCATCAAATTTTCCTTGTCTATTCAATGTCATATATATGTAGATAACAAACTTATGATCTGGATCTCCTATTATGTAACCATTATTGTTGCATGTAAGCAAAACAGTATGCCATCTTTGATGATTAACATCTCTGTTGTAATGTCCATATAACCACTCTGATGATGGCTCATGTGA